TCTTCTCCCAGTACAGATTTTAGCCCTCAATTAATTTTATCATCTAATCAAAGTCAATTTATACCTACAGTTTCTGTCTATGTACACCTTTTCTAAATCTCATAATAAAGATATAGTTCTCAAGAGTTACAAATATCTGCTTCCCATGTAGGCATCTAAACATTTTAACCTTATTGAATAACATTTTTTTTCTGTTAACTTTTTATGCTTCTCTTGAATCTTATATTTGAAGATCGAATCTTCAGTGTAGTTCTGTTTTTTTCCATCAGGGATGATTGAAAATTCTATTTTTTTTTATTAAATATCCATCTTTTCCCCTGAAAGATTGCACTCAATTTTGCTGGTATTTGATTCTTGCTTGTAATCTAAGCTCCTTTGCCTTCCATATTACCATATCCCAGTCCCTCCAATCCAGTTACTAAGGCCTACATAATCCTGATTATGGTTCCACGATATTTAAATTGTTTCTTTCTGACTGCTTGCAGTATTTTCTCCTTGACCTGATAATTTTGGAATTTGGCTACAATATTCCTTGGAGTTTTCATTTTGGGATCTCTTTCTGGAGGTGACCAGTGGATTCTTTTAATGACTCTTTTGCCCTCTGGTTCTAGGACTTCAGGGCAGTTATCCTCGATAATTTCTTGAAAGATGCTGTTCAAGCTCTTTTTTTTTTCCCTTTGATTGTGGCTTTCAGGTAGTCCAATAATTTTTAAATTATGTCTCCTGGATTTATTTTCCAGGTCATTTATTTTTCCAATGAAGTATTTTATATTTTCTTCTTTTTATTTTGTTTGACTGATTCTTGATGTCTTACAGAGTTAATAGCTTCCACTTGCCCAATTCTATTTTCAAGAAATTTTCTTCAGTTAGATTTTGTACCTCCTTTTTCATTTGGCCAATTTTAGTTTTTAAGGAATTGTTTTCTCCAGTCAATTTTTGTCCTTCCACTTCAAAGCTATTGACTCTCCCTCACATAACTCTCATTTCTTTTCCCAATTTTTCTTCTGCCTTTCTCATTTAACTTTTAAAATCCTTCTTAAGTTCTTCCAAGAAGGCTTTTTGGTCTTGAGATCAATTCATGTTCCAATTTACAGTTTCAGATGTAGGGATATTAACAGTGCTGTCCTCTTCTAAATTTGTGTTTTTGATATTCCCCATCACTATAACAGCTCTTAATGGTCAATGGTCATTTTTGCCTCTTATTCATTTGTTTGTCTACTTCCTGGCTTTTAAAGTTGAGCTCTTCTGCTGGAGCTCAGAGGGTCCTGTCCCAAGTTTTTTGTGCTGGTTGCCAGGCACCTGGTCACTTGCTTTATACCCTGGGAACTCAGATGCTGTTCTCTAGAGTCTGTAGGGGTCTGGTGGTTTACCTTGTGCTGAGCTGCAGTCCTAGTGACGGTGTCTGGCATGTGCTGATGGAGGAGCACTGATGCACGTGGTGGTCTGCTGTTAGAGGATGGCTGCTTATCCGGGGCTGCATTGAAGCACAGGGAGGTCCACTGCTGGATGATGCCTGCCCATCTCAGGCTGGAAGCATGAAGAGGTCCAGCTGCTCTAAGATGCCTGCCTGCCTTCCTGGGGCTGGCCAGCATGTGTGCTGGTTCTCTAAGCTGGAGTCTGACAGTTCCACTGGCTGTGCTAAAGCACATGGGGAATCCTGGTGTTGACATTTGCTTGCTCCACCACTCGTGTATGCTCAGGATCTCCTGCTGGTGTGCTGAAGTGGAACCTCCTGCCAAATTGCTGGATGGCTCCTGTCTTGCACTGTGCTCCTCTTTTGCCCAAGTGATAAAGACCTCTTTTGCTGGTCCTCTAAGTCTCCCAGAACAAAAGGCTGCTTCATCCTGTTTTTCATTTGGCTCCAATGTTTTAGGGTTTGTTCAGGGGCACTATTTTATGGGTGTTCTGGAATGAGAATGGGAGAGGGACAACAACTTACTGCTTACTCTGCCATCTTGGCTCCCAGAAGTCTATCCTTGAAATTCTTTAATCAATAGTGATTGAGAGATTTTTTTCTTTGACTATAGATATCTTCAATTTCTTCTTTTGAAAGTTGACTATTCATATCCTTTGACCATTTACTAATTGGATAAGACTTTTTTTTTACAAATTTGACTCAATTCCCTATATATTTGAGATATGAGGACTTAGAGAAACTTGCTGTGTTTTTTTTAAATTATTCATATCATATGGCACCTATTCCAAGACACAGTTTTCTTCATTATCTCTTTCAATTATGTTTATTTTTGCTTTTTCTGAGATCATGACTGCAACCCTTGTGTTTTTTGTTTTACTTCACCTGAAAAATAATACATTCTGCCCCATGCCATTACTTTAATGCGTGTGTGTGTGTGTGTGTGTGTGTGTGTGTGTGCGTTTCTGTTTCAAGTGTGTAGTGTGTCTCTTTCAATCTGGTACTAATCCATTCTTCTTTCTATTTCTGTTTTATGGGTGAGTTTATCCCATTCACAACCGCAGTTATGAATACCATGTATTTCCCTCTACCATTTTCTTCTGTTGATCCTTCTCTCTTCTTACCCTGTCCCTCCTCAAAATTTTGTTTTGCTTCTGACCACTGCTTTCCCTAACATCCTCCACCCCCTTATTATCTCCTGTTTTTCTTATTCCCTTCCCCTTCTACTCTTCTACTCTACTATTGGGTAAAATAGATTTCTATACACAATTAAGCATATATATATATATATATATATATATATATACACACACACACACATATATGTATGTATATATACACACATATATATATGTATGTGTATATGTATGTGTATATATATGTATATATTCTTTACTCTGAACCAGTTTATATGAGAAAGAGCTTCAAGAATTGCCCACCACCCATTTTCCCATCCGCTATAAAACTTCTTCCTCCCATGCCTCTTTTATGTGGGATAATTTTCCCCATGCTTCCTCTCTCTTCCCCCTTCTCCCAGTGGATCCATCTTTCTTACCCCTTCATTTTTAATATTATCCCAATATAACTGACTCACATCTATGTCTTCTATTCATCTATACTTTTTCTAACTTCCCTAATAATGATAAAGTTCTTGGTTATTATATGTATCATCTTCCTTTATAGTAATGTAAACAGTTACCTCAATATATAAATCCTGGTTCTAAGTTTTCACATCTATAAAATGAGGGAAATTGGACTAGAGCTCCTTTCCATTTCTAGATCTTTGAATCTGTATTACTATGAACTTATTAAATGTTTTGTACCCATGAATTCAGACATGGCTGAACAAAATGTGAATGTAATGGAATATTATTGTTATTGAGGCATGATAAAAGAGACAATTTCAAAGAGTAATGGAAAGACTTGTAGGAACTGATGCCAAATGGAGTGGGAACAGAACAATATATGCTGGAATGTAATGAAAAATAATTTTCATAAAAATAATTTTAAAACTTTGATTAGTCAAATTATCAGACATGATCAAAGAGGTATTATTAAGAATGCTACCCAGCTCATAAGAGAGAGAAGATAGGCTAATATGCACAAGAAATGCATTTTTTTGACATGGTTAACATTTTTCATTTGCTCTGTTTATATGATGTGGGGGAACTTTATTCATCTATCCCTTCTTTCCTTGTTCCCTTCTTTGTTCTCTTTCTATCTATTCCTCCTTCTTTCCCTTTTTCCCTTCCTCCTTTCCTTCATTTCTTCCTGCCTCCTTTTCTCTCTCCTTTCTCTTTTCTTCCCTCTCTTCTCTTCATTCCTTCCTTCCATTATTTTCAAGTGGAAAGAAGTGGGAAGAAAGATGAATTCTTAGAGATTAAAACATCAACAAATGTTTAAAATAAATATTTAATGGGGATGATTATAGGCATGACTTAAAGGCAAAGACAATTCAGAGATTAGTCCTAAAATCATGGAAATTTCTACAACCATTCTATATGTGTACGAACCATCCTCATTTTAAAAACAGATCTTCCTTCACTTTGTCTTTCAATGTGAGCCAAAAAAAAAAATTGGCTTTCCATTTTTTTTCTTAAAATCATTTACTGCCCATGCCTCATCTTATAAGCATGGCTTGGCAGCCAAAGCAGCTTCTAAGAAAAGGCAAAAAATTTAATTATACATTCACAACTGCAAGTTTTAAAATTATAAATTTTATTTGAATTAACCAAAAAGGTAATATTTTGTATCAATGACTTGCAGGTATAGATGTATTTGATATACTTGTCAGTCCTCTCTTTTAGACCAAGTGCTATTTTGATGACACATAAAATAGTAATACACAAATAAAGTCAACTATTCCCAAGCACCACAAAAAGATTGGATTTTCTTTCTTGTAAACATATTAGAGAAATATAAGAAGAAAACAAGAACAAAAATCAATGGAAGTGTCTTACAGGCCACCTCTTTATACATATTTGGCATGTGAAATTCTCTAAAACAAGAGTTTGTAACCTTTTGGTGTAATGGGCAACTTTCCAGTTTGTTTTTATCTGCAATTGAAAAAAAACATATTTAATTTCTCTCTGGGTAGAAATTAAGCTAGGTCGCACAGTGGATAGAGCGCTGGAACCAGAATCATGAAGACTTGAGTTCAAAACCAGAATTAGATACTATCAAGCCTTGTGACAACTTCAGGCAAATCACTTAACCTATTTTGGCCTGAGGTTCTTCATCTGAAGAACATGGATAATACTAGTGCTTATCTCCTAGATTTGTTATACAAGTAAAATGAGATAATATTTGGAAAATGTTTTGTATAATTTAAAGAGCTACAGGCTACTTTTGTTGTTTGTTGCTGTTATTTTCAGGAAGAGATTAGTGAAAATGAAGAGGCATTTCTTTCCATTCCAAGTTAATGTATCCAAAGGACAAAGAGGTACCTCAGGTTAAGAATCCCTATTCTGGAAGATGCTTTAGATTTTTATTTTTAAAAAATCACATTTTCAATGTGATTCATCACATGATTGAATGTTTTCAACAAATGATATCTGATCATAAGTTTGTGTTTCTATTCCTGCAGGGAAGAAGAGGAAAAAATGAATGTGGCTTATTGGTAGCTATCCCATTAAACGGAGTAACAACAGTCATAAAATGTTCAAACACAAGAGGTATGATAATCATATCGCTCAATTGTTGAAGTCAGGTTCAATTTACACATGGTGAAAGGTATACGTACACTTTTTGTGTAATTCACATAAACTAGGGAGATGCATTCATTGTTGGTTACTACTTATAAATTAATTAATCTGATATGCTAAACTTTTTCTAATGGCTTTAAAATTTAGGTATGTTTACTGTTCCTAAACATCAAGAATTGTTAAAGTTTGCCACTAATTTTTAAATATATTGGCCATGGTAGTCTGTCAGTCAACAAGTATTTATTAAGTACCTAGTATGTACTAGGCACTGTGCTAAGTATAGGGATACCAAGGACAAAGAAAATTCCCTGCACTCAAGGAGTATATATTCAAATGGGAAAGACATTGTATTATTAACTGAATAAATGAAAAATACACACAGAGAAGAGGGATAGCAGCTGGGGGTACCAGAAAAGTCATGCTGTAGAAGAATGGCTATGTAAAGAATGCCAGCAGAACTAAGAGGCAGAGGTTACTTGACAGAGAATTCATACATAGGAAGCAAGCAATGCAAAGGTATGGAGATGGGAGATGAAGTGTCATGTTCAAGGAACCACAAATAGGGCAGTATATTATAATCATACATGGCAACTCATGAACAAACAAAAATGAAAAGAAATAGAAAATGGGTACTCAGTCTTCTAACCTCATTTTACTTTTTATAGTGATCACAGTAGAGTGGTGAGAGAGTTTAGATTATCTGTAAACATGAACTTAATGATGGTACTCTAAAAGTCAGGTGTTATTTTTTAAATGATCAACCAGCTGACACACTATTAAAAAAAAAAACCTTATCCATTTGGAAAATATTAGACATAAATAAAACTGAAAAAAAGGATTTTCATTAAATTGAGGGGCAGCTCACAGGATCTCCTACAAGAGGCAACAAAAGAGAAGCTGTGGCAGTTTCCTCTTTTATCATGTACCCCAAAGCATCATTTCATAGGGATCAGATTCACCTCCCATTGCAGTTCTTATGATTAGTCTAACACATGCACACACACACACATACAAAAATCTTCATGAAGGTAATTGTAGTTTTTGTACTCATATCTCTTTCAGAGTATGAAGGATTGAAAAATATCCTGTTGAAAACTTGACAAAAGTACAAAACCAAGTCATTAGTTGATGTGATACTTCTCTGACTTCCTTTAAGTCCTAACTAAAATTCATTTCTTTTTTACAGGAAGCCTTCCTCAATCTTTCTTAATTTCAGTTTCTTCCCTCTGTTAATTACTTTCTCTTTATTATGTATGCAGCTTGCTTAGCATACATATTTGTTGCACGTTGTCTCTCTCATTATTGTAAGCTCTTTGAGAACACGCCCTCTTTGCCTCTTTTTGTATTGCCAATATATGGTAGGCACTTAACAAATGTGTATTGAATGAATGAAGAAAAAGTGATGAGAAGATGGAATAAAAAGTATACATGAGAGAAGTCAAAGATGTGAAAGCTACTCAGAAGTCTCACTACTAGATGTCATGAAATATTTTATTTTCAAGCAGATATCCAGAAAATGCCAGATCTTGGAAGCATTGAATGATGTGACAAAAATAATATTGAGAATATTTTAAAAGACAGGAAATAAGTAGATACTAATAAGGGCATTACATGCAGAGCAGAATTGCACAGAAACAGGTATGGATACACTATGATCAGAACTATTGGAGGAAGAACCCACTTTGAGATCACAAATCTATTAAAGAGGAAACTAAGTCAACAACAACAACAACAGCAAAAAACCAAATCAAAACTCACTTTTTTTTTCAGCCAAAGACAAGGTTTATTAAAGATCCCTCATATTGGTCAGACTCTTAAGGATTCTAAGCACCTGTGAGCTATTGGCTAGATTGTAAAAATCTGAGCAGTGGCTAGATTATAAGAATCTGAGCATCTTAATGGAGAAAAGAAGGACCTTATATACACAAAGACTGTGGGAGGGATCTAGGAGTGGCCAGGTAGTTTGCTGGGACAGTGAGGTAATAGAATTCCAGGGAGAATGGAGCCTAGCTAGGATTAAGGGTGGAAAGTGGCTGGGAGCCATAGGGAGGTAAAACAATGGAGGGCCAGGCTAGATTAAGGATAATAGAGAATCAGGAGATTGGGTGCAGCCATAATGAAAGGCCAGTTGATGGGATTATAAGCCCAGGCAAATACCTGAGATTTGGCCATGTGGGAAAGTCCAGGGTTTTTCATTTTGGGGGGTCTAGATCCCATCCTCATCATTCCCCCCTCAAACAAATGGGATGCAAATTCTTTTGGGGTAAGGGGCAAAGGATTTATCTCCTGAAACTGCTTCCTGCTGGCAAGGGCCATAGAGCTGTTCCTGCCTCAAGGGGTCCCTAAAAGGAGGTTGACCGGAACTTAGAACAGGGTGCATCCAGGGAATGATGGGGGTACATTGGCTGGTACCTGCTGTTTGCTATCAATTGTAGGTGAATGGCCTGTAGTCCAGAAGACCAAATCTGACAGAAAACACTGCAGGGCCCAGATACAACAAGATAAAACATCCTTAGCTGTGTTTGGATTCAGATAATTCCATTTTCCAACCATGCAGTATCAAATCTACCTCATAGCCAGATTCAGGAATAGTCAGGTGGGTAACATTCCTTTTCAAAGGAATATAATGGGGAAACTGAGGCAGGAGGACCCCATCTTAGACTGAGGCTAAAATTGTCCTCTCAGCTTTTCCTGATGCTGACTTCCCATCAGTATCACATTCTCTGAGCAGCTTGTAGCATTTCTCTCAGCTGGTGGATTACTGATTATCGATGGATTATTATAATCCATCAGACAACTCAAAATAAAATCCCATGAGCTTTTACCTCACACAGCAAGTTTCACTAATCACAGTTCAGGGGGAAAAAAATCTTTTTCAGGCTTTACATCTCAAATTTAAATTTGTCTTGGTGTAAAAAGGCAAATATACTTGCAAATTCTCAGCAAATCAAAACCCAAGCTTTTTGGCAAGTTTATACATTAAAACAATAACCAACAATAACAAAATTATTTTAGTGGTAACTAAATTATGAAAAGTTGCTGGAGATAACCAATACAAAAAATTCACCAATTTGAAACTTGAAACAAAGCCATTACCAAATAGGTGACTTCTGTTTTGTCAAATGCATTTCTGAATTACCTTACAGAGAATCAACATCTCAACATTAACAGCTAAAATTACAACTTTAAAAAGAGCCTTCTTACCCAAATTTAGAGGCTAGCTTCTTTACCTTGAGTAGGATGTTCTGAACCTGGGTGATGCTTCCAGACAAAGGTTGCCCTAGGGCCCAAGGCCATTACCAGTGGGGCCCCTGGTGTATCTGCTGCTCCTCCCCCCTCCTTCTTTTCCCAGGTGGGAGAGGGAGAAATCAAAGGTGAAGGGTAAAGGGTGAAACTCTCTTCTCTTATGAGAGGGGTTAACACATACCCTCTTTACTCAAGGAAGTGACCAGAGTTGTAAGGAGGTGTTTGAAAACTCCTTAATGATCAATCACAAAATTTCCAGAATCTGCCAAATTATTATTAGCTCATCTAACTTTTCCCTGTAATCTCCATGAAGGAGGATTCAGGGGGGTAGAGAGAAGGGAGTGAGTAAGCCTCAGGGAACCAAAAAGCAATGGCAGTTTTCCCCAACTTCCTAGCACCAAGAGAATTGACAGAATTGGGCATAAACTTCCAGATAGGGTCTCTATCCTTGTCCTCTGTGCTGCGGAAGGTGTACCCAGGTCCATGGCCTCGAAACAACCCAGTGGAACAAGAGCCTGAGAGCATCAGGCCAAGTGCAAGACAGACTCATAAATGTTTGCCCAAAAAGCACCTCCAAGGCTTGGTGCTTGGACAGCAACACAACTGCAGAGCAAAAAAGAAGGGGAAGAGACTTACATACCTTCCAGTCTTGGCTAGAGAAGAAATTGGCATTAGGCAGTTTCCCCAGATGGGCCACCAAAATGTTGAGGTTTAGGGGTTGAGGGATGCTGGAACCCCAAAATCACAACACGCAGGTCTTGTCCAAAAGAATTCGACCCAAGGCTTCTTTCAGCCAAAGACAAGGTTTATTAAAGATCCCCTATATTGGCCAAACTCCTAAGGAATCTGAGCACCTGTGAGCTATTGGCTAGATTGTAAAAACCTGAGCAGTGTCTAGATTATAAGAAGCTGAGCTTCAAAACTCACTCTTGCAACAGTTCTTCTTCCCTCCCATTCCTGATAAAGCCAGTTCATGTGCAGCAATAGCTATTATTGCTCTATAAAAGAGGCTTTGTTTTCTCTGTGTCCTGGAGGGCTAGATTTCCTTGTAGTGCTCTGTTGATCTTTATGTGCTGTTGGTGGCTAGAGAGAATGAATTTAATGGGAAGAGGATCAACCAGCACTTCAGAGGATGAGGAAGACAGCCAGCTTACAATCAACAGGTTCCTCAATCAACAGACTCCTGAGATATAATTTTCTGTAACCATGACTTTGCCAGCTATGAGTGTGGTTAGGTTGGGCTGACTAAGAAGCAAAAAATCCACTATGTCACTCTTCTAATCAAAATCTTTAAGATTTCCTGTTCTCTAACATGTAAGTTTAAAGTGTTCTGCTTGGTACTCAAGACTCATGTCTGTCTGTTTCTGTTCTATTTTTCCAGACTTACCAAAACTATGTTCTTCCACATGTCCAAAGAAAACGGTCCTACTTGCCATCCCTTAAAATACTCAATAATTAGAACATTAGTCCAACATTTCCAGTTATAAGCTGACTGTATTATAAAAAAAAAAGTACTCACATTGCTAAAGTATTTCAAGGTTTATGAAAGTTTATATCAATCCTGTAATCTAGGTTGTACAAGTATCATCATCTTCATTTCATAAATGAAGAAACCAAGACCCAGAGTGGTTAAATGACTTGCTCAAGGTAATGATGGCCATAAGTATCAGAGGATAGATTGAAACCCAAGTTTTCTGTAGCTTTCTTTCCAGCACTTCTCACCACTTCTATTACACATGAAAGCTTAGAGAATAGAACCAAACAGGTTGACTCTCTTGACTCCACCTCCTCCTTACCTGGTTCATTGCCTCCCCATTCCCAGGAAAAGTCTTTATTAACTTTTCTTTCCTTAATGGAGATTTGTTTCCTGAGTCCATCATTTTGGGAAGGGGCCTGACCAAGTTTTATTTCATTCTCCCCTAAAGACTCTCAGGACTCTGCCTCCTTCTCTACACCAGTGGCATTGCCTTTTTTTACACTTCCACCCCTTTTTTCTAGAACCCATTTGTGCATCATCTTCCCTCATTGGAACACTTGAGGATAGGGAATATTTCACTTTATTGTATTTGTATTCCAAGTGCTTAGCCCAATTTTCTGTACATAGTTGATAGTATAATAAATGTTCTATTTATACATCCATCTATCTATCGTCTCTCTAACTTTGGAATGTGTATATATATATATATATATATATATATATATATATATATATATATATATATATATAAATGTAGCTGAAATGTTTTATTATCAGTTAAGATTTAGTGGAATTAGATGATGTTGAAAATGTCTTATATCAGTATATTGGTTCAGTGTGGTTTCATTGCTATTAATCTAAATGACTGCAACCTCATGTGCCAGCATTTTTGTACCAATGCACATTTGGGTTTGGATCACTGACTGCCTCTGCTAGTTTTTCATTGCCAACACACTTACTATTAGAGTCTTATATTTCCCTCCTTGGCAACTAGCATAAATTCAGCATGATATGGATGCTAATTTTCTCAGCCCTTAAAGAAACTGCTTTCTCATCTTCTCTCTGGATATAGAGTTACTGGATTGTGGAAGACATTTTTAGGAATCATGAGATTCCTTCCTATAACTTCAGATTATTCTGCAAGGAACTTCAAACCACCCCATTATCATTCCTGAAAGTCTCACTTGAGAAACCATCTTATTTTACCTCCCTCCATCTAAGGGAAATTCATTAAATCAATGAACAATCATTTATTTAACACAAACTATGTACAAAGCATTGTGCTAGAAACTGGGGTTGCAAAAAAAGTCCCTGCTTTCAAGAAAATTATATTCTATCAAGAGAAAAAGTATTGGCATATACAAATTTTATCAAAACAAATATATCTTGGGGCAGAAGGAAGGAGGCATCAGAAGCTAGAGAAGTGAGGAAAAACCTCATGTAGCAGTTGGCACTTGAACTGAGCTTTTAAGGATTTTAAGTCACTTAACCCTCTGTTAAGACATTTTTCCTCATCAGTAAAATGAGGTTAATAACAGCACTTATCTTCCAGGGCTATTATAAAGATCAAATGAAAAAGAAATAATTATAAAGTGCTTACCACAGTGCCTAGCATATTAAAAATACTACATAAATGTTATTATTATTGTTTTTGAATTTTCATGTCCTCTAGTACCTAGCACAATGCATTGTTCATTGTAGATACTTATAATAAATCTGTTGAATTGAATGAAATGGATTTTTTTTCTTGTTACATGTCTATAGTAAATCTCTAGCAGCAGAAGCACAAATTTTGGTCTTTTATGCTTACCCCACCTATTTTTATTTATATAAATACTATGAATGCAACCAAGACTATAGCTCGAAAATACTCGGTCCTGAACATTAAGTGAATTTAAGCATAAGAGTGGTCAGAATAGAATGAATGCAGGTTTTACCTGTCAAGAAATAAATGTAATTACCCAGAGAAAGCTAAGACCCTCTAGATTTAGGCATATCAAAAAAAAAATCATGAAAAAAAGTATCTAAATAAGCCACACAGAGTGCCTGTCTTATCTCCTCTGTAGTTCAATGTTCAAAAAAAGAAGAAAATGTAAAATACTTCATTGGAAAAACAACAGACCTGCAAAATAGATCCAGGAGAGATAATTTAAAAATTATGGGACTACCTGAAAGCCATGATCAAAAAAAGAGCCTAGAAATCATCTTTCCAGAAATTATCAAGGAAAACTGCCTTGATATTCTACAACTGGAGGATAAAATAGAAATTAATAGAATCCACCAATCACCTCCTGAAAGAAATCTCCAAAGGAAAACTCCTAGGAATATGATACACCTATTGCAGAGTTCCCAGGTCAAGGAGAAAATATTGCAAGCAGCCAGAAAGAAACAATTCAAGTATTGTGGAAACACAATCAAGATAACACAAGATTTAAACCTTCTACATTAAGGGAGTGGAGGACTTGGAATATGATATTCTGGAGGTCAAAGGAGATAGGATTACAAACAAGGATCACTTACCCAGCAAAACTGAGTATAATTCTTCAAGGGAAAAAAATGCATATTCACTGAAATAAAGGACTTTCAAGCATTCTTGATGAAAAGACCTGAATAGAAAATTTGACTTTCAATTACAAGACTCAAGTGGAACATGAGGAAGTAAACAGGAAAGAGAAATCATAAGGGACTTACTAAAGTTGAACTGTTTACATTCCTACATGGAAAGATGATATTTGTAACTCATGAGACCTTTGTCAGTATTAGGGTAGTTGGAGGGAATATATATGTGTATGTGTGCGTGCGTGTGTGTGTGTGTGTGTGTGTGTGTGTGTGTGTGTGTGTGTGTAGATAGAAGGTACAGGGTTAGTTGAAGATGAATGGGTGATATCTGAAGAATAAAATTAAGGGGTGAGAGAGGATTATACTGGGAGAAGGAGAAAGGGAGAGGTACAATGGGATAAATATCTCATATAAAACAGACAAGAAAAAATATTTTACAGTGGAGGGGAAGTGGAGAAAGGTGAGAGAAAATGAGTGAATCTTATTACCGTAGGATTTGTCTTAAGGAGGGAATAACATACACACTCAGCTGGGTATGGAAATCTCTTACCTTACAGGAAAATGGGGGGGAGAGGATAAGAGAGCAAGGGGATGGTAGAGGTGAAGGCAGATTGGGGGAGGAAATAATCAGAAGCAAACCCTTCTGAGGAGGGACAGTGTCAAAAGGGAGAAAAGAATAAATAGGATGGGATAGGATGAAAGGAAACATAGTTTTTCACAACATAACTACAATATAAGTGTTTTGAATACCTACACATGTATAGCCTTTATAGAGTTGCTTGCCTTCTCAATGAGGGTAAGTGGGGAGAGAGGAAGGGAGAGAATTTAGAAACCAAAGCTTTAAAAACACACTTTAAAATTTTTTTTTCACATGAAACTGGGAAATAAGATATAAAGCAATGGGGTGTAGAAATCTATCCTGTCCTAAAGGAAAATAGAAGGAGAAAAAGATAAGAGAAGGGGGGGGTGATAGAAGGGAGTGCAGATTAGGGGAAGGGGTATTCAGAATGCATGCTGTCTTGGGGTGGGGGGAGGAGCAAGATGTGGAGAAAATTGGAACTCAAAATCTTGTGGAAGTGAATGCTGAAAACTAAAAATGAATAAATTTTAAAAAGAAAATGTGTATAAAAAAGAAAATCTCTAACAGCAGAAGCACAAGTTCTTTTTTTTTTTTTCTTTTATGGTTGCCTCACTTATTTTCATTTCTATAAACAACATAGATACAACCAAGAAAATAGCTCAAAAATACTTGGTCCTGAACATTAAGTACATTTAAGCACTAGTGCGATCAGAATAGGATGAACGCAATTTTTACCCAGAAAATGCTAAGACCCTCCAGATTTAGGTGCATGAAAAAAAATCTTCATGAAAAATTTAATATCTACATAAGCCATACAGAATGCCTATCTTTTGAAAAACATGTGGGTAGAGATTTGGTGCCATCTTATCTCCCCTTTAGTTCAATGTTAAATATATTTAGAAATGAATTACAATCCCTTTTTTGGTTTTTTTCCTTAAAGATCAAAAGGAAGGTGATTTAAAATCAGACTATCAAGAAATAAGTATCAAATAAAGGAGAAGTAGGTGAACTCCTGGCTCTCCAAAGGAAAATATATATATATTTTTTCAAATATATTTTCCATTTTCTCCAAATTTACCCAAGGTCCATATTCTAAAGCAGAGCTCAAAGAGTTTTAAAAAATAGATAGATAGATAGATAGATAGATAGATAGATAGATAGATAGATAGATAACCATTTCAATAAAATTTGTTTCCTTTGTATTTTATTTTATGCATTTAAAAACATTCAGGAAGAGGGTCCATAGTTGTCATCATACTGCTAAAGGGATCCAGGACATAGAAAATAGTTAAGAATTCCTGTACTAGGGGATTCAGGAATATTCCAGTTGGGTTAGGAACTGAACCCAACCATGTGTAGATTGCACAGCAAGTCCTGCTTTTTCAAACTGCTCAGCATTCAAACAAGACTGTCTTTTTTCCCCCCTTTTTCTCCATTATCCTTCTATTTTCTTGACAGCATTTTGTTCATAAAAACTTTCATTTTAGATCTGCTGTAAAGTGACTTTTGTGAATGTCTGCTCACCTCCACCCACATGAAATTGGTTCCATTTTAAGCCAGTATAGCTATCAACTGCTTTGGATGTGCTGTCAAAGAATTCATTGGAAGAAGGAGATTGATGGAGTCCCATGAAGGCTGAATTGCCTTAAAAAGTAAGCCCACTCAAACTTTAAATGTTCTTGTAAAAGTAACATTATAAAGAGTAAAGACTGTAGGTATCTAGGATGGAAAGTGGGGGCTGAGGGAGAATGACAGAAGAATGGGAGCATCAAACAGGCCTCTTCCATCCTGTACTGACAAGATTTCTAATAAATGGTTGGATTTTTGCTGAATTTTATTTCATCACCATTTAATATATCATTTCAAGGAAAAATAGATCTGTATAAAATATTTAACACACATATTTGACTCATATAAGGCATAACAACTTATAGTAGAATGTTCACTTGGATTCTGGAAAATTACACTGATTTTACCATTTATTACCTGTGTGACTCTGAGTAATTCATTTGCCCTTGCTAAGCTTTTTTTCATATCTGTAAAGTGGGGGTAATAATGCTTGTTAACCTATTCAAGAATTGAAAAATGGTAATGGAGAAAAAATTTTGCGTAAGCTTAAATTGGTATGTGCATGCAAGTTATTAATTATGAGAAAGATTAATAGGATATTAAAAAGGCTATTTTGTTGGTGTAGAACATGGTGAAACATTGTTAAGTTATATTTCATTTTGGGGGATAATCTAAGCAATGCTATTCAAAGCAAAGGTGTATTTTGGATGCTGACTTAAGATGGTAAGAGAACTTGCACCAAACAAAACTGAATTTATTTTAAATTGAATATGCCACTAATGTATGTGTTTTTTTTTAATAAATACTACCTGAAACTAATTTAGTGTTTTAAATATCACAAAGTGTTTTATATGCATCATCTCATTTTGTCCTCCTAACAACAATGTGAGGTATACAGTATATGTAATAGACTAAGACTTAGTAAATTGTCTGTGGTGTAAGAGCTGTTAATATGTGCTAGAATTTGAACTCAAGTTTTCCTAAATATAATTCTAATATTTTGTTCAACACATACATGTGCACATACTTGTGCACACACATATAGGTGAGTTGCATGGATCCCTTTGAACTCTACAACTAGTTGGAAGGCCTTCTTTAGATTATTAGAGCTCCTAAGGCTGATCTGGGAAATAGATTCTGAATTCCTATCCCTTGAGTTTCCCATTGCCTTTCAATCCCTACTGTTTTTTGCCATAATAGTGCTCACTCTGAACCCTTTGTCTCATCTAGTCCAGTAATCTTCCTTGTGACACTGCTGGGATTTTCTTTATGCTCACATGACACAGCTTAGATTTTTCCACATGTCTCAAAATATGATTCAAATATTAGGTCAATTGAAATAAGCAGCTCTTTTTTTTCTGAGCTCTACAGAGTGTTTCTTTTATCTCTTCTCTCTTTTATTCAGTAACAACTCAATAGTTTGTGGCTGCTCCTTTTGTTTTAACAACGTTCCACAATTCTCGTTGCTTCTCATTATTGTACAATTCCGGCCTAACTTTCACTGGGACTGAGAAAGAATTCTTACAAATTGAAAGGCTATTATAAAAGTTTGAATGAAAGACTGAAGTTAAGGGCAAAAGAAGAGCTTTTAAAAATATCAAATGAGTTAGGGCAAAAGATGGGAGGTAGGAAGAGAGTGAATTCCTTTATATCATATATAAAAATTGTCATCAATCCTTGACAACTCAAAACAAACAAAACATGATAGGAATTTGATATCTATTTTAGCAAGAAAAAAATGTAGTTAAACATCCAGACACTAATAAGGTAATCTTTTTTTTTTTTAGGAGTCATGGAGAATTGAACAAATACCAGACTACTTGGAAGAAGAACATGATGTTGTCTCCTTTACAATATAATAGAAATTGATAAATAAGCAACATGGGCTTCTAAAGATCAAATCATGACAAATCTAATTGTTCTTTTGACTGAAAAATATTTGGTTTTGTGTCATGGAATATTTGGGAAATAAATTTAAATAAGCTGTTCAATAGCATTTTCATAGTGAATCCAATGTATGAAAGAGCCAAAGAGAAAGGAAATAATAGAATATTGGTTTATTTCACCATGGCAAGTATTTAGTGAAAGACATAGTGGAAATTACAGTGTTTAATATTATACTTAATTCTGTGGAATGGGAAGATATTAAACTGGAGGAGACTTGAAACAAAGAGGTGAATGAGAAGGTATGGCATTTTTTTAGAGGATGTCAATATAGTTTACTACTGTTTCATGAAACTCTTGTGAGTTGTTGGTAGTACCTAAAGGTCAAATGAATCGTCACTAGTCATATAACCAACAAATATTAAAGGTAGCACATGAACCCAGATCTTCCTAACTCTAAGCCTGCACTTTGTTCACTGCTTACAATGTGCTGCCTGAATATATCTCAAATAAAACACTGAAACACTTGCCCCTACAGGGATATTTTTACATCCTGTGTGACTGGTGTTTTATGCCAATGAGACTGACTTAGAGAATCTGTTCAGTTCTATTATACAAAGTCAAGCTGACTCATGACACTTACCTTTCACTTAATGGTGTGCATAAACACAATTGGCAGTCTAACCTTTAGCAACCAGCTCACTACCAAGTAAGATAACACATATGATCTCACAGAATGTCTTCCATTTTTTTTTTCATAGCACTGTCAGGTTCTATGGCCCTGTCTAGGTATGTGGAATGCTAGGAAAAATAATTTGTAGCTCTTTTGATTTATGTTTTGACCTAGTTGAACACACAACATCATTTGTTGTTGTGTCAGATTCTTTGTGACCATGTGGACCATATTGCCCAGGAGTTTTCTAGGCAAAAATACTAGAGCGGTTTGTCATTTGCTTTACCAGTGGATTAAGGTAAACAGAGGTTAAGGGTCATACCGATAGTAATTGTCTGAGGCTGCATTTGAACTCAGATCTCCCTGACTCCAAACTCAGTGTTCTATGCACTGAACCATCTAGATGCCTCTGCTCACCATCATAGTACCCAAGAATTTACTCATTTGACATATTGTTTTAAACGAATTTGCTACATGAAAATCAAAGCTCTCAAGCAATAGAAAAACAACTGCTCCTGGTAAAGTTGAATGTTCAGCTTTCCTCTTTTCTATATTCTGTCCCTTTGATTTCACAAATAGACACATATTCAGGCAGATAGAGAGACAGACAGACAGACATATAGATAGATAGATAGATAGATAGATAGATAGATAGATAGATAGATAGATAGAACATGTGTGTTAATTACATTCTTTTGTACAGCAATGTAGCTATCACCCTAAGGTCATTTGGAGAAAAACTTTATCAATTGTTCTCAGCTTCAAAGTCAAAGACAGAAGAAAAGGAATTTCCTCACTCCAATTAATTCACATGATCTTGCTCCTCCTGAGGAGGGTGCACTAAGTTCCTAGCTGACTATATGTAGCATAACTCAATGGGCTAACCCTAGGAGAGTCCTTCCCTTGGTTTGGCAAAATAGTCACTGCCTTCTCTTAATAAATAATGTCATCCCATGGGTAGGTTGAGGTGCTAAGGGAGATTCTGCAAAATGTAGTTATGTTCTATTTTCAAAAGTCCCATTGAAGTTAAGCTTCTGGGAGCCAAGATAGTGGAGAAAGAAGTAAGTCACCCTTACTGGCCCTTATCAACCTCTGAAAGCCCAGAAAATATTACCCCCGGAAAAACCCTAAAACAGCTGAACCAGCAGAAAGATGGGGTGCAGCAGTCCAGTAGCCCAGGAAGCTTCAGGGATTAATGGGAAAGGCCCCTCTTGTCCTGGTGGAAGGGGAGCAGTACAGAACAGAAGGCATCCCAGCAAGCTAGAGGAAAGCCTCACCTCAGCCTACCAGGGAGAGATCCTGAAACCCAGGGGGTGGAGCAGGCAAGCACCAACACCCGGACTCCTGAGTGCCTCAGTAATGGCAGGGGAACCAATGGAAACCAGCTCAGAAAATCGTAACATATCTTGGTATTCTACAGCAACCCAGTGCCTCAGCAAAACTCCGGAAAGTGCTCCAAAGGTTCCCCTCACGTGGAGAAACATCCCATATATCCAAAACATCCATCTGAAAGGAGCCAATGAAAGCAAAAGAAAGGGAAGGCCTGGGTGAGCAGGCAATCTCCAGGGGCCACATTACCCAATCCTACCCCTAGGTTTCAGTGTTGCTGATTCCAGCCCAACACCAGGTAAGCTGCCAGAACCCTACAGCCTCCAACTGCCAGCATCAGAGGCCACAGCACACAAAGCCAGTGACCAGGCCCCGGGGGGTCTCAACATAAAGTTGCCCCCTGCTTCCCAGCAGGAAACTCAATCTTTTTAAAAGCCAGGAAATAAGCAAACACCATAAGCAAAAAGAAATGTACTACAGGTTCTTAATATGGGAATAGTGAAGATCAAGGCAGAAATTCTGAAGAGGACAACGTTGTCAACAAACCCACATCTGGAAGCTCAAAAGGGAATATGAACTGATCTGAAGTCCAAAAAGTCTTCTTGGAAGAGCTCAAGAAGGATTTTAAAAGTCAAATAAAAGAAGTAGATGAAAAATTGGGAAAAGAAATGAGAGGTATGCAAGAGAGAGTCAATGGCTTTGAAAAGGAAAGACAAAAACAAGTCATTAAAAATACAATTGGCCAACTGGAAGAAAAAAAGTACACTGAAGAAAACAACTTCTTAAAAAGCATAATTGGCCAAATGCAGAAGGAGGTACAAAATCTAATAGAAGAAAACAATTTGTTAAAAAAATAGATTTGGGCAAGTGGAAGCTAATGACTCTCTGAGAGAATGAGAATCAGTCAAACAGAAACAAAAGAATGAAAAAAAAACATGAAAACATAAAGTACCTCATTTGCAAAACAACTGACATCGAAAATAGATCCAGGAGAGACAATTTAAAATTTATTGGTCTACCTGAAAATCACAATGAAAAAAAGAGCCTGGATAGCATCTTTCAGGAAATCATCAAGGAAAACTTCCCTGAGGTCCTAGAACCAGAGGGTAAACTAGCCATAGA